CGGCCCCGCCGCCCTAGGGGAGCTCAGAGACATCCGAGCCGAAGGTCCGACCTCCATTCTGCAAGCTGTTTCCCTCCGTTGTAGAGGCGGCGAGCAGGGGGTTGAGGACCAGAGTGTGTGTGTGTGGATGCCATGGCTGGATTAATGAAATCTCCCAGACGTCATGGCCTCGATTTTTTTTTCTCATTATTCCTCCTCCTCTTATTCCTCCTCCTCCTCCCTCCCTCCCTCCCTCCCTCCCTCCCTCCTCCTCCTCCTCCTCCTCCTCCTCCTCCTCCTCCTCCTCCTCCTCCTCCTCCTCCTCCTCCTCCTCCTCCTCCCCCTCCTCTTCCTCCTCCTTCTTCTCCTCCTCCTCCTCCTCCTCCTCCTCCTCCTCCTCCTCCTCCTCCTCCTCCCCTCTTCCTCTCCCCCTCCGCCTCCCCACGTTCTCCTCCCTCTTCCGTCCCCGTTCTCCTCCGCTTCCTCTTCCTCGACAAGTATTCAATCTGAGTTTTACCGGAGAGAAACCCCAATCAGGGCTATAGGGCTAGGGGGCTATAGGGCTATTGAGCTATAGGTCTATAGAGCTATAGGGCTATAGAGTTGTAGGGCTATTGGGCTATAGGGCTATAGGGCTTAGGGCTATAGGGCTATAGAGCACCCCCGGGCAACCCAGGGCACGCCCGGGCACCCGGGCACCCGGGCATCCCCGGGCACCCCCCTGGTAGACAGCCGAAAACACGAATAGACACTTTTAGAAATTCTGAGCTTACCGTTGAGGCGCCGTAGACACAGTATCTATCAGTATCTACGTTTTAGAAATAGACGTTTTTAGAAATTATCGTGCTCCCGCTGAGGCCCGGTGGTCATAATATCTAAAAGTATCTATTTCGGACAGTGTCTAAAAATATTTGTGTGCATCGGCTGTGTTGCAAGGTTTCCGTGTCTATTAGTTTCTAACTAGTATCTATTTAGTATCTATTTTTCAACAACAGTATCTATCTTTACAGCACGAAGTGGCGACCATAGTAGAGCTGAGAAGACCAGCTTCAAACAGTCCACGACATTCAATCGAAGTAGCGCGGATGCGTGCACGTGAACGTCTGCATGGGCCTGTATGATTGTGTCGATGTGTGCATGTGTATGGGTGCGCGTGGATGTGTATGGCGTACGTGCACGCGTGTGTGTGTGTGTGTGTTAGTGTTAGTGTTAGTGTTAGTGTTAGTGTTAGTGTTAGTGTTAGTGTTAGTGTTAGTGTTAGTGTTAGTGTTAGTGTTAGTGTGTGTGTGCGTGTTTGTGTTGTGTTGTGTTGTGTTGTGGTGTGGGTGTTGTGTGTGTGTGTCTGTGTGTGTGTGTGTGCGTGCGTGCGTGCGTGCGTGCGTGCGTGCGTGCGTGCGTGCGTGCGTGCGTGCGTGCGTGCGCGCGCGCGCGCGTGCGTGCGCGCGCGTGCGCGCGTACGTTTGTGTGTGTGTGATGTCCCGCTTCACTGGCTCACCTCAGTTGGCCCCGGGCGGTATTCCTCCTCCTCGTCCAACTCACCATCCATCCTCCTCCTCGTCCTCCCCCTCCTCCCTCCTCCTCCTCACTGCTTCCTCCTCCTCCACCTCCAGTGCCGTCTCGCAGGGCCCCAATAAGGCTCCAAGGAGGGCCCAGGAGGAGTCAAACAGAAGTTACGCGAGTGCCCTCTTGGGGTCCTCCTGCAGCCCTCTCGAGGCCCTCAAATGCCGCTGCGGAGAGCCCCAAGCGGGCTCCAAGGGGGGCCCCCAAACGCACACACACACAGACACACACACACACACACACACACACACACACACCTTAGGGATCCTTAGGGAATCCTCCGAAATCCCAGAGGAAGCCTGCAGAATCCCTAGGGGATCCTGAAGGAATCGCAGGGAATCCCTAGGAATCCTTTTTGGGAATCCTTCGGAATCCTTAGGGAATCCTCAGGGAATCTTTCGGGTACCCTTAGGGAATCCCGTAGGGAATCTTTCGGGTATCCTCAGGAATCCTGTGAGAATCCTTAAGGAATCCTGAGGAATCCATTGGGAATCCTGAGGAATCCCTAGGGAAAGCCAAGGAATCCTCAGGAAGCGCTAGGAGATCTTAGGAAGTTCAAAGCAATCCCGAGTGAATCCTATGGAATCCCTTGGCAACCCTTAGGACCCCCTACGGAATCCATCGGAATCCTTAGGAATCCCTAGGGAATCCTTCGGGAATCCTTAGGAATCCGTGAGGAATCTTTAAGAATCCGCCAGGAATCCTTGGGAATCCCTAGGGAATCCTTTGCAAGCCTATAGGGGGTCCTTAGGAATCCAAAAGGAAATCTTTAGGAATCCCTATAGGGAATCCTCAGGAATCCTTCGGGACTGGAATCCGCAGGAATCCCCAGGGAATCCTTCAGCAAGCCTTCAGGAATACATCGGAATCCCGAGTGAATCCCTAGGGAATCCTCAGGAATCCTTAAGGAATCCTTAGAAATCCCTAGGGAACCACCCAATCTTTTAACCTCTGACGTTTCAGCGGAGTTGGGAGTGTCTATTTTTGAGCTCGGTCAAGGATTCGGCGCGCGCCAAATCTATCAGTATCTATTTTTTCGAACCAGTTTCTATTTGTTTTGATGAGTTTCTATTTTCAACTCGAGGAAATTGCAATGGGTATCTATTTTCAAATGGGAAACGTGTCTATTAGTGCCTATTCATAAAAAAAGCTGATTCGGTATCTATTTTTGGTAACAGTATCTATTTTGCACGTGTCTATTTTCATTTGGTCACACGAATTGTATATCAAAACAACATAAAAATAGACTCGCGCTTCGCGCGCTCCGACTCAGATGCGCTGCGGTTTCGCCATAGCAGGCGCGCACCAAAGATAGACACTACCAGTATCTGTTTTTTGTCTACTAGGGCCGGGCCCCGGGCACCCCCGGGCACCCGGGCACCGGGGCGTGCAGCGAAACTCGGCGACAAATCTAACCTAACCATACTGATACCGGAGAAAAAAAACAATCAGATTTTTGTTGGGGCAATAGGGCTATATGGGCTATATGGCTATAGGGGTATAGTGATATAGGGCTATTGGGCTATGAGGCTATAGGGGCTATAGAACCTTAGGGCTACAGGGCTATAGGGCTATAGAGCTATAGGGCTATAGGGCTCTAGAGCTATAGGGCTCTAGGCCTCTAGGGCTATAAGGCCATAGTGCTATACGGCTGTAGGGCTATAGGGCTATAGGGCTACTGGGCTATTGGGATATTGGGCACCCCCGGGCACCCCCGGGCACCCGGGCACCCGGGCCCGGCCACCGAAATCGGCCACGCACCTCACCGGGCACCCGGGCACCACCGGGCACCCGGGCACCCGGGCCCGGCCACCGAAATCGGCGACAAACCTCACCTAACCCTTTAATCCGCTAGGACCCCTACAGAGGCAAGCTCTGATTGGGGAATGAATCCGCTAGGACCCCCACAGAGGCAAGCTCTGATTGGGGAATACTGCTCTCGTCTCTCCTTCTAAGACGGCCTGAGAACCACGCACCCACTTCGCGTATGTTTCTGTTGATTGTTGCAAAGGATGGGGCCGAGCTGTTTCTTTATGTGCTTTTCCCGCCCAAGCCTTCTCGGCCCTTCAGACAAAAGGGTGTTCCCTCTGCAGCGTGGGCCTCATTTTAGGATCTGCGTTTCGCTCCCGTCGTTCAGAATGGCGCTCTCGCCCCAGCGCGTTCCAGCTTTTCTGGATCCGAGGCCTTCCTCATCGATGTCGCCCCCCCTCCTTGCTCGTCCGCCTTCCTAGTCCTCTTACTCCCGCTCCATCCACTCCAGTTTTTCAGCCGGTGCAGTTCGTTCTCGTCCTCTTCTTTCCTGATCCTCCTCATTATCATCCTGCTCAGCCTCGTGCTCATCCGCTACCTCATACACGCACCTCCCTTTTGTCTGATCGTCTCTTAGCACGAGGGGGCCGTCTTGGGGAGCTCCGGGTCGGTTATGACACGCGTCCGCGCATTCAGGAACAAGAACAGCGCAATGTGAAGCTATGGGTGGGATGTCAAATATGGCACGAGCGCACCTAGCGTGCCCCCCCCCCCTCTCCTCCCCCCGTCTTCTCCTCCCACAAGTCTATAGTCACAGTCAACGAGACAACATTGAGGTCGCCCCGCGGGCAGCTTGCCCCCGCCCTCCAAAGCCGAGGCCAGCGCATCGAGGTGCACGGGCGGGGAGGCATCGGGCCGCATCCGTCATTTCTGAAGGGGCCTTTCCACAGAGAGCACCTGCCCACTTTGTGCAGAGGCCGCTCGACGACGGCGCATCATCCGAGGCCCCGCCGTCGTCGCGTCCGCTGCGACCAGACCCTGTGTGTGCCCTCCCCCCCCGTCTCTCCCGGACTGCCCCCGTCGTCGTGCTGGGCTTCGGGCATGTTCGCATCCATGGGGCTTCCGCCCTCCGCTTGCCCCCTTCGGGGCGGCGGATCCAGATCTTTTTCAGTAGGGTGCTGGTGACTCACATGCACCATTGCTGGCTCGCTCGCTCGCTCCCAGGCTGACCCCGCTCGCCGACCCCCGCCCGCCAGGGTCCTCTTCCATCCGGTCGATCGGATTCGATGTCGATCTCGGCCGGCCCGATCCGATTCCGATGCAGTCAAGGCGCTCAAATGAGGACCACTTTGGCCACGGGCAACGATAGGGGGGCATAGAGGCATAGGGGTGATACATCGACCCCCAATCGCCAATAGATCGTTCATAGGGGCCTGATAGCCCCGACCTGCCCAGGAACGTGCGGAGCCACTATCGGGGGCCCATCGCCGATCTATCGGCAATGTACCGCCCGATTCCAGGTCGATGTTTCTCCCCCCGTCGCTATCCCCCCTCTATCGTTGTCCCCTATTTAAGCTCAGGAGGGGCGCTGATCTGCAAGCCGTTCCTTCGGTCTGCAGGTCGGGGAGTCTCTTCGGGCGGCCGAGGCTTTCGCCGTGGCAGGCAAAGCCCCTTCGCTCCTTACTTGTGGCGCTCCTCCCGGCAGTGCCAGGCGACTGGTCCGACGATCCGAGGCGGCCCGATGCCTGCTTGGATGGCGCTGCTGTGCATCCTGGCGCCGCCGATATGATTCCGATCGGAGGAGGACACGGTACCCATACCGATGCCCTTCCCGCGCTTTCCCCGTTTGGGGCCTCCTGGTCAGCCTTCCGCCGCCACCGCTGGATTCGCCTCGAGATCCTGGTCTGAACGCGCCCGAGGAGAAGCCTGGGGAGTAGCGGTATCAGTACCTCTTGTTTCCCCGGATCCGATTTCGGTTCCGTGCCGATGCAGCCCGACCCAGTGCAGACTGCGCTTCGGCCCGAGTGGCCGAATCTCGACTCTGACTGATCCTGCCCGCGCTGGCGCCGGCGAGGTGGAGGAGGAGTTCGCCGAGAAGCTGTGGTCCTGCTTCAGCCTCGAGGGCGCGGGCGCGCCGCCGCCTCGACCGCCCCGTCGCCGTCGGCGCCGCCGTCGCCGCCCGTGGTCGCGGCGCTGCTTTCCGAGGGCGGCGGCGCGGACGCGCCGCCGCCGCCGTCGTCTTGTGGTGCTTTTGGCCTCGAAGGTTCGCGGGCGCGCGGCGGCGTCGTGGTCCCTGGCGGGGGGGAGCCCGACGTGGAGGTTTCGGTGCCCGCTGAGGGGTGTCGAGTCGTTCATGCTCTGCTTGCATCTTGTTGCGCTGTGCAGACTGCGGAGCCTCTGGGCTGGGGGGGCCCGACGTGGAGGTTTCGGTGTCCGATCTTGGGTGTCGTGTCGTTCATGCTATGAGTGCATATTTCGAAGAAGAAAACGCCATGAACATACACTTTTGGCGCGCCGCGCGGATTTCTAGGATCCGCGCTGGGCCCCCCCCGGCGGCGCCTCTGGCAACGCCCCCCACCTCGTGCTCCTTGGGCAGGGTCCCCGTGCACCGTGGGGAGGGTACTCTTGGATGTTCTATGTGTTGTGGCCGACAGAGGGGGTCGTGCTCTTGGGGGATGCTCTTCTGTTCTAGGTCCGACTGTGCTCGCAAACGTCCAGAAAACACATGTTTGCCTCGATGTCGTGGATCGTGACTCCCCCGCGGCAGATCCAGGCCGTTTGCCAGTAGTTCTAGGCCTCCCAGGTGGGGTCCTAAGTAGATGGGGTCGGAGGATGGCGCCGCATCGCCGATACATCAGCGATTCGGCTGGATTGGGAGCCCGATTTTATCCACGCCGACGTCGCTGATGTATCGCCGACGTCGCCTTTGCATCGCCGATGCATCGGTGATGCATCGGGGATGCGACGCGATCCTCGATCCTATCTACTCGGGCCCCATCTAGGAGGCCTTTAGTATAGTCCAGATTTCACCATGAAAGGGTGGTGGTCAGATTTGATGGGGGGGTCAGTTTTGAGCTGTCTCGGAGGGTTCCAAGGGGGGTCTGGGCAAACGCCCGCCCTTTCATGGCTGGCCTGGGGGGGGGGTCTGCCATTGCTCGTTGGGGGGGGGTCCTCTCCCTTTCATTACTAGATTTGGGGGAGAAGGATGAGGAGGAGGAGGAGGAGAAGGAGGAGGAGGATCGAGGAGGAGAGAAAGGGACGAGAGAGAGCACATGACGAGGAGGAGGAGGAGGAAGGAGGAGGACGAGAGGACGAGGAGGACGAGATGACGAGGAGGACGGGAGGACGAGGATGACGACCAGGAGGAGGAAAGGAGGAGGAGAGGAGGAGGAAGTGAGGACGAGGCGGCACGAGGTGAGGACGAGGAGGGACGAGGATGACGAGGAGTACCAGAGTAGGAACTGAGGGTACGAGGAGGACGAGAGGTGACGAGGAGGAGGAGGGAACGAGGAGGATGAGGGAGAGAGGAGAGGAGGAGAGAGGTATAGGTGAGGATGAGGAGAGGAGGAGGGAGTAGTCGAGGATGAGAGGGATGAGGTAGGAGGAGGAGTAGGATGAGGAGCGGAGGAGGAGCTAGGACGAGGAGGAAGGAGGAGGCAGTGAGGAGGAGGAGGCAGGAGGAGGAGGCGGCAGGAGGAGGAGGAGGAAGGAAGGAGAGGAGGGAGGAGCAGGAGGAGGAGAGGAGGAGGCAGGAGGAGGAGGAGGAGGAGGAGGACAGGGAGGAGGAGGAGGGAGGAGGAGCGGAGAGGGGAGAGGAGGCAGGGAGGAGCGGGACATGATGAGGGAGGGGGCGCGCTTGCCTGCGAGCACACTCCCACGGCTTTTTTTGGCAGCCCCCGCCGTTCCGCCGCGGCGGGGGGGGCCAGTCGCGGCCACTCGGGGGGTGTGCCCCCCCCCCCCCCCCCCTGCTCCTTCGACCGCGCGGGGAGTGCTCGCGCGGGGAGGCCGCCCTCGCGAGGCCGCGGGAGCCCCGCCCGCGCTCGCCTCGCGCAGCTCGGGTCGTCGTCGTTGTCACCGTCGTCGCCGTCGGATCGATCCCCCGGCTTCCCCCCAAACAAAAACCCTTGACGCCCAGAAAGGGAGAGGAAATAAGGACGCTCCGCGTAACCCCGCCAGGTGTCACCCCATGCTCGATATTACCCGCTCTCTGGAATCGTCCTTGGAGCCGCAGATCAAAAAAAGTAACCCCGCCAGTTTTTGTGCGGCTTAATGAGGCTCACTTTGTTCCTCGCATGTGCATTCCGGCGTTGGCTTTTGACCCGCTGGCAATTATCTTGCTTGCTTCCTCGTGGTTCTGGCGCCGTTTCGGCGGCTCCTCGCACTGCTGTAGCCAAGATGCGTCTTTTGAATTCTGTTAGTACCGTGCATGTGCAGGTGCGGCCGGCTGTCGACAGTGACGGCTGGATTCGCAATTATCTAGCTCTGTGCCCCAGACGCCCTGATTGACACGCCCGCTGGAATTGTCCTTTGGGCCGCAGATCAAAAAGTAACCCCGCCAGCCCGTCCAGAACCCGCCGCCAGCGGCAGCATGCGGCCGCGCTCCGGGATCTGTGGTGCATCTCGGGGCACTTGATGGCATTTGGGGGCCGCTCATGAAAGAGGGGCATCGCGTGGATACGGCCCCGGGGTTAAGTCGGGCACGCCCTTCTGCAGGAGGACTATGTTGGGTTTTTTTTTATAAAAAAAATCGTCTTATTTTGTCGCCCAACATCCGCCTGTAGGGGGACATGCCCGACCTAACCCCTGTCGTGCGTTCCCAAAGCTGTCCCCCGAGCCTCTGTTGGTCCAGTTGGGGAACCCATGCAGTGGGGGCGCGCCTCAGGAAACCAGATGCTTTCCGTCAGGGGATGATCCTGGCTTTCTTCGCTCCTCGCGCCGCGCGGTGGCTTCCCGCAGCCGTTGAAGGAGCTGCTGCGTTCAGGGTATTCCGGGTTCCCCCGCAGGTGCACCTCGCGCGCGGGTTGACATGTTTTGGGTTCCTTGCGAGGGTTTCTTGCGGCCGCGCCCGCACCGTACGGTCGGGGATTGGGGTCGCCATGCCCCCGCGTCATCGAAAAAAACGGTGATTGGGGTCGGCATACCCCCTGCTATCACAAGGCGCAGGGGGCGAACCCGTCAGCCTCTGGCCAACCAAGCTCTCTTCCTGGGGTGCCTTTGGAACACTCTCCCCTGCCTCTTCCTGGTGGCTTTTTCCATGAACAAGTGATCGCCGACATCATCAACTTCATCATCACCACCACCATCACCACCACCACCATCACCACCACCGCCACCACCACCACCACCACCACCCCCGCCGTCGTCGTCATCGTCGTCGTCATCATCGTCATCATCATCATCACCAGCATCGTCATCACCATCACCATCATCGTCATCATCATCACCACCACCACCATCGTCACCCTCATCGTCCTCTTCGTCTCATTGTCATCATCAGCAGCATCATCATCACTATCATCACTGTTATTATCATCATGATCACTATTACCATTACCATCATCACCACCATCGTCATCGTCATCATCAACATCATCAGCATCATCATGCTCGTCACCATCGTCATCATCAGCATCATCACCATCATCAGCATCACCATTATCATCCACCATATCATCTGTGTCCTCATCAGCAGTAGCATCATCATCAATGTCACAGTCATCTTCGTCGTCATCAGCAACATCATCGTCACCATCGTTATCGTCGTCATTATCGTCGTCGCCCTCCTCCTCATCATCATCGTCGTCGTCGTCATCATCATTACCAAGCCGTTTCAGGATGCAGAGCCGCATTTCCCAATTTGGGTGCGGTTGGCCACGGGGGCGCTGCGACGATGATGATTTCAGAGGCCATGCCGGTTGACAGTCCGGTCAAGTCCGGGGATGAAATGGAGATGCCAGGCGTCGCAGGGACCCCCAGGGACACAGACCTCGGTTTGGTTGGGGGCTCTCAGCGCGGGCGTCTGATCGTTCGGTGCGTCCGCGGCTCCAAACTGCCCAAGTTGGGGCTGGGGCAGGTCCTCAGCACGCACACATCAAAAGCCTACGTGGAGCTGTTCCTGAAGGACGAGGCGTCGAGGCTCAGGACCCCATCGAAGAGGACGGGTGTGATTCCGAAGACAGGCAACCCGATTTGGAACCAGGAATTCACGTTTGCCGTGAAAAGTGCCACGGAGGAATTGACTCTACATCTGGAGTTGTGGGACCACGATGGCGAACGCGAGGACATATCGTTGGGCCAGGCGACGCTCGCGCTGGGCCGCGAGCTACTGCGGCAGGCCTCCCAGACGCGTCAGGTGAGAGATCTGCCCTTGTCGGAACATGACGAGAGGAACCACTTGCCGATCATGGGCAGAGCTGCCAGTGTCCGCGTAGAGATCGGATGGGAACCGCACGAGTTGAAACTCGCTGGAGCTGGCGACACCGTAACGATCTGGCGAATGATCCGCATGCCGCCCGTGCTGCGGTTGGCTGCCGTTGCGATGAGCGGATTGGCGAGCCTGCTGTTGGCAGTGGCGACGGCCTCGCGATGGTTGTGCATCGTCGGGGGCGACGGCGACTGGAAGGCAGTCGCTGTACCAGGCACTATCACGAGCTGTGTCATGGCTGCCGCACTTCAGGCTGCCGTTTTCCTGATACACTTCCTTGGCGCGGCGGGGGTCATCACCTCCGAGCTGGAGGCGTGGCGGCACACGCCTCCATCCTTGATGTCGTTGGCGGACTCGGGGCTGGGATACGAGGGTCATACCCAGAACCTCGTGGACCATTCCCAAGAATTCTCCGTCGAGGTGACAATCAGGCCAGAAGTGCAGATGGGTACCCTGGGCGGCGCACACATTGGGGCGAACATATCGCTCTGTCCGAAGGTCAGGATGGCCGCTATTCGCGTTTTTACCTGGCTGGTGCAGGGCAGCGTGTTGTCCCTCTCGTTCTTGGCCTGGCTGCTTGCCTGGCTGGAGGACGGGCCATCCAGACACATGGTTGAGGGTGCTTATATCGATGGTGTCGCCATGGCCCTGGTGCTGTTCAGTGTCTTGCTCTTCCGGACCGCTGACCTGAGACAGGATAAGCTCGAGAAGTGGATCTACCACAGCACGCCCAGGGTCAGCGAGGACAAAGGTGAGAACTTGCTGGAAGGTTTTCCCAACCAGCTGGAGGATGTCCTGGCCAGCACCAGACTGCAAATGGAGCGGCAGCGAGAATTGTTCGAGGAGCGCATGCGGTTCATGACCGAGCGCGTCCACAATCAGTTTTCGGAGGGCCCTTCCAAGATGCAGGCGAACCTCAACATGCTTCAGGAGGCAGCGCAGCCGCTTCTCGCGACGCTGCAGAGAGGCTCGTTGATCAGCACGGAGGAGTCCAACGTCCAGCCCCACGGTCACTCGGCCACCATGAGGGCCAGGGGGCACATATCCTTCGGGACTGCCGAGGAAATCGATGCTGTGTGCTTTCTCAGGGCTGTACACTACTCGATCCGTTCGGTGATGAGTGCCGACTCCTGCACGTGGCCTTCCCCAGACCTCCGAAGTTTTGCTGGTTTCAGCGCGGGGCCCCCAGGAGGAGGAGGAGGCGGAGGAGGCGGAGGAGGAGGAGGGGGAGGAGGAGAAGGAGGCGGAGGAGGAGAAGG